CTACCAACAACATGTGATAAGGTTTAGTTCCAAGACATAAAATATTGGCAACACTGCAACAGTGCCACCATGGAGAGAAATAATGTAAGAGTTGACCAGCGAGGATGGTGCCACCCGCTCTGTTATTGATGTGTTGGGCTGGCACTGAAGGGCGGGGGTGGGGTGGCACTGAGGGGCGGGCATGTGGTACCGAGGAGCGGGGGTGTGGTACCGAGGAGCGGAGGTGTGGTACCGAGGGGCGGGGGTGTGGTACCGAGGAGCGGGGTGTGGGTACTGAGGAGCGAGGATGTGGTACCGAGGAGCGGGGGTGGTACCGAGGGGCGAGGATGTTGGCACCGAGGAGCGGGGTGTGGTACCGAGGGCGAGGATGTTGGCACCGAGGGGGTTGGGATGAAGAATTGAGGGCGGATGGGGGGTGCCACTGAGGACGAGGATGTGGCACTCTGGAGGGCGGGGGGTGTGGCAGAGCATCATTCAAATCTTGTGCACCACCCACCAGCCTCTGTTGCTTAGGCCAATACCTTGTGCTCTCTCTCTCTCTCTCTCTCTCTCTCTCTCTCTCTCTCACTCTCTCATCAATCAGTAAACAACACTCGGGTCCTCAGTAACAAAGCGGCCATCGTTAGCACAGGAACACCACCACACAACAGACTTACACCAGAGCTGAATCTTTTATCCTTCTATTTCAAGAGTCTGTATCACCCAGCCACTATTACTCTATCTCCCCCTTGTGTCACGTGTCATGTGATGTGTCATATGACGTAAAATGGTTTTGTTTTTTTTGAGGAGGAGGAAGGATCATGGTGTCATTTTTGTTTTTTTGTGTCGTGTGTGTGTGTATGTGTGTGTGTGTGTGTGTGTGTGTGTGTGTGTGTGTGTGTGCCAGATGACACTATATATGGTTGATAAGTGTCATTTCTCTATGGTGTCATATCTCTGGTGTGTGTCCTATGTGTACGTGATTATCCACCTGTGTGTACGTGATAATCCTCCTCTGTGTACGTATTTAACCTCCTCTGTGTACGTATTTAACCTCCTCTGTGTACGTATTTAACCTCCTCTGTGTACGTATTTAACCTCCTCTGTGTACGTTTTTATCCTCCTCTGTGTACGTATTTATCCTCCCATGTGTACGTGTTTTAATAGCGTGTCCTCATCCGGAAAAAATAAATAAATAAATAAATAAATTCCATCACCAAGAAGTAAAAGGCGTAGCCGTAGTACAAGAGAGAGAGTTAAATACAACCCTGGAAACTTGTAAATGGATGGTCGGAGGAGGAGGAGGAGGAGGAGGAGGAGGAGGAGGAGGAGGAGAGGGAGGGGAGCAGGAGGAGGAGGAGGAGGAGGAGGAGGAGGAGGGAGGAGGAGAGGAGGAGGAGGAGGAGCAGGAGGAGGGAGGGGAGGAGGAGGAGGAGGAGGAGGGAGGGAGGAGGAGGAGGAGCGGAGGGGAGGAGGGAGGAGCGGAGGAGGAGGAGGAGGGAGGAGGAGGAGAGGGAGGAGATGAGGAGGAGGAGAGGAGGAGGAGGGAGGAGGAGGAGGAGGAGGAGGAGGAAAGGAGGAGGAGAAAGATGAAGAGAAGAGGAAGAGAAAAGAGGAAGAGGAGGAGAGGAGGAGGAGGGGGGAGGAGGAGAGAGGAGGGGAAGAGGAGGAGCAGGGAGAAAGATGACGACAGAAGAGGAAGAGGAAGAGGAGGAGGGAGGAGGAAGAGGAGGAGGAAGAGGAAGAGGAAGAGGAAGAGGAGGAGGAGGAGGAGGAGGGGGGAGAAGGGGAAGAGGAGAGAGAGAGGGAGGAGAAAGGAGAATAAGAAAGAAGAAAGATGAAAGAAGAAAGAATAATAAAATAAGAATAAGAAGAAGAAAAGATAAAGTGCATGTTATGTTACCGATGCTCGTCACAAGCCCTCAGCACCTTTAGAAACTTTTGTTGTTGTTAAGAAGTTGTTGTTGTTGTTGTTGTTGTTGTTGCTGTTGTTGTTAAGCAGCAGCAGCAGCCTGTGCACAATGTGGCGGCGGCGGAGTCCTCTTAGTGCTTGAAGGACTGCTGTGCGAAAAGCTTTTTTCACACACACACACACACACACACACACACACACACACACAGAGACCCAAGACTTCACCAACAATACCAACAGAGTGAGTAAGAGAACCTCCCTCCCTCCCTCCTTCCTTCCTTCTCTCCCTCCCTCCCTCCCTTCCCTCGCTCCCTCCTTTTCTCCCTCCTTCCTTCACATCCTCCTGGGAAGTGTTAGGGAGGTGTAGGTCACGTGGGAGGTGGAGGAATAGGTCAGACAAAGAGAGAGCCAATCAGGAGCGAGATTATGATAATAGGTCAAGTTAGCAGCTAAACTTCACCTCATTATAATTATAATTGAGATAATTTCTTGTCTAATGAACCCAGGGACCTCTTGGCCTCCATGAGTGTGAGGTCGCGGAGGTATTGTCCTGGTACTAACGAGGGTATTGTCCTGGTACTAACGAAGCTCTCTCTCTCTCTCTCTCTCTATACACAAAAACCTCCATGAAATTAATTTAAGTGTTTTATCTAGTCCTAAATACAGGTAAAATTAATTCAAGGTTTTTAATTCCCACTAATTAGACGAGCGGGAAAAGGTTAGTGCATGTTAGTTTATTCCCCCGGCAGAGCTAGGTCAAAGGTCAAGGTCAGAGAGGTCAAGTTATTAACCATTTTTTTTTAATTACGAGATAAGGCGAATAATTATCCTCTAACTTAGTGAAACCTAACCTAACTTAATCAAACCTAACCTGACCTGACCTGACCTTTACCGATCTAACCTTACCTGAACTAACCTTTCTTGACCTGACCTGACCTTTCCGGACCTAACCTTACCTGATCTAACTTTTTATAACCTAACCCAATCTAACCTAACCTGATCTGACTTTGTTGATGCTGGAGAAGTGAAGTCATTTGTGGCCATCGTGTCAATAGAGGTCATTTATGTTACTAAAGGTCACTGAAATATGCCATAGATGTTATTGAAGGACACTGAAGAGAACATATGACTGTCTTGCCCCGAAGTGCCCCACCCTCAAGTGCCACCCATGCTTGTCAGTCTTGAGTGCCACACCTTGATTGGTTTTATTGAGTGCCAAACCTTCGCGTGTCGTTCGGGAATGACACACATGCACACACACACACACACACACATTGAATTCTCCTTCCTCCCCCACACACATACACACATAAAACAATCTCTTCCTCCTGCCACCCACACAACCCCCTCCCCCCCAGTTGCCAATATCCCAGGTGTAGGCGAAGGCGTCTACCTGCATATTCATGAGCTCGACGTAAAGACAAATAAGGAAGACAAAACTCCTTCAGGTGTATTTAATTACTTTTGTCTTCAGGTAGATAATGTCACAGGGGTTATATCAGGTCATTAAGGTGAGAGGTATCATTAGGGAGGTGATTATAAGACTTTTTGGCTCATTCGTTAAGGTCGTGTGATGGTCGTTAGGGTTGGTGATTTGTGGTAGGTTGTGGTAGTTAGGGCAATGGTGGGGGGGGGTCATTAGGGTGGTAATTAAGTGTTATGATGGTCACTAAGGTAGTCGTTAGGTTGGTTAATAAGGATTACGAGAGGTAGTTAGGGTAGTGATCGTACTCAAGGAGTTAAGTTATCGTAATCAAGGGGTTAAGTCATCGTACTCAAGGGATTAAGTCAACGTTCTCAAAGGATTAAGTCATCGTACTCAAGGGATTAAGTCATCGTACTCAAGGTGTTAAGTCATCGTAATAAAGAGCTCAGCCACTGAAAGATGAATGAATACCTGACTGAAATTAATTTGATAAACAGAGGGAAAATGGAAAGAAGGAGAGGAGTAGGAGGAAGAGAAGGAGATGAAGAAGTAGAAGAAAATGCGAGAAGGGGGGAGGATAAGAAGAACTATACACAGGCGAATTAACGAATGAAGAATTAAAAGAATGAGAGAATGAGAGACAGACAAGCAGAGGTAGAGGGAGAGGTAGAGAGACAGAAGGAGAAAGAGAAACACAGAGACACGGAAGGAGGGAAGGAGAGAGAGAGAGAGAGAGAGAGAGAGAGAGAGAGAGAGAGAGAGAGGCCAGACAACTTGACCTAGTTCAGCCATACTCGTGAAGATCAGGCTCAGGAAATGTGAGGAAGAGAAGAGGAGTAGGAGGAGAAATAGCTAGAGTAGAAAGAAGAAGAAGGGGGGATAGAAGAAAACGAAGAAGAGAAGGAGGAAGGAGAAAGAAGAAGAATAGGGATAGAGAGAAACGAAGAGGGGGGGGAGGGGATGAAGGAACTGTAAGAATTATACAGCGAACGAAGAGGAATTAAAATAAAACGAAAACGAAGGAAAAAACAAAAATAACTAATGAAAACAAGAAACAAACAAAACAAGCAAAAACAAACACAACCAAACAACCAAGTAAACAAAAAATAAAAAGGTAAACAAACACGAGGGGAAACGAGCCCAAAAGAAAGTGTCGTATCAGACGGAACAAAAAACAAAGGAAAGGGAAAAACAAAAGAGAAAGTTAGAGAAAATATTAATAAAAGTTGATAATTAAAAGATATTCTAAGGTGTCGTATTAATAAGAGGAAAGAAAAAAAGAAAAGAAAATGAGAAAAGACGAAAAAATGTCATACGTAACTTATAAAACAAAAGCCATTGAAATCATTAACATATATATGAGAAAAAGAAAACAAAGAAAGAAAGAAAGAAAGAAAGAAAGATGAAAGTAAAGACACGTATGGAAAAACTTATAAACAAAATCAAAAACAAAAGCTATACAAACCCAACCACTATCAATAGACGCCCTAAATTTCTTAACAAAAGATAAAAAGTGTGTGATGTCTCCTTTATATATATAAACTTTGTTGTGGTGTGTGTGTGTGTGTGTGTGTGTGTGTGTGTGTGTGTGTGTGTGTGGGAGGAAGGGAGGGGTATGTATGTATGTATGTATGTATGTGTGTGGAGGACTAGGATGAAGAAAAATAGGTTCATCGTACTCAAGGGATGACGCCATCGTACTCAAGGGTTTTAAGAGTACCTTTTAGGACTCTTTCTAGTTTAAGTTTACGGAAGCTCTCACCTGATTGGCCTACTCATAGAAAATTGGAGAGCCATTCAGGAGAAAATTATCCCTTGAGAAAAATAAATGGCCAAATCTCTCTCTCTAGTAATATTTCTTACCATCAAAACTTCTTAACTGAAAAACTCTCTTAACTTCACAACTTCTCAGTAGTTAAATTCTTTCCCGCCAGACAAAAAATAAATAAAATACAAAACATTGAACTTTTCGACCGCGTAGCGCTGGGGGTGGAGATTGTGGTGGTGGTGGTGGTGGAGATTGTGGTGGTGGGAGATTGTGGTGGTAGGTGGTGGTGGTGGTGGTGGTGGTGGTGAGATTGGTGGTGGAGATTGTGGTGGTGGTGGTGGTGGTGGTGGTGGTGGTGGTGGTGGTGGTTGTGGTGGTGGTGGTGG